CCTCCTCCTTGATATCCACCCCCCCCACCACCACCACCACCACCACCGCCGCCGCCGCCGTTGTCGTGGCCACCATTGCTATTGCCATTGCCATTGCCGCCACCACCAATGCCACTATCGTCGTCGCCACCACCGCCACTGCCACCCTGATCATTGCCACACATCACAATCATCACTGTTTTCTACCATCGCCACTGTTGCCCACCACTTCTCACCCCACTACAAACCGATACGCAAATTTTTTTATTTCTTTTCTATTTTTATGATTTGGTTTTGGATATATATCACAAATATGTTTATTGTTTACTATTTTTTATTACTCTGTGCCTTCAGGTACAACAATAACTAGTATATATATTACTATTAAAAGTACTTTAAGTGAAATACTTTTGATTCGCTATTTTACTCTCATAAAAAATTTTAAATGTCATATTATCTTTTCGTAGTCAAATATCTAAATTACAATTACATCCTTATATATTTAAATATCTAAATTACCCTATAACATCTCTTTTAATTCTTTATTATCTTTGTATAAATATAAATATCTATAAAAAATTTTAATTGACTACGTTACCCTTAAAAAATATATATATATATATCATTATAGTTTTTAATAAAGTGTTCAAAAACTCCATCAATATTTCATTATCTTTTTCAAATATAAAAATAACATTATGCCTATATATATATGTAATTTTTTTCATCTATACTACTAATAAAGAATGAAACTTTTGCCTTAGCATAAATTTTTTTTGATTTTATTTTACTCTTATAAATAATTTTAAATACTACACTATCCTTTCCGTAGTTAAATATCTAAATTACCATCATATATTTATGTGTTTAAATCTCTAAATTATCTCTAACATCTCTTTTAATGCTCTATTTACTGTTTATAAATATCAGTATCTATGAATTTTTTAATTGGTTACGTTACATTTAAAAAATATATGCATTACTATAATGTTTAATAAAAGCATTCAAAAAATCTTCAAAAATTTCATCAATATAATATTACTCATTTCAAATATAAAAATAACACTATACTTACATATGTGTATTTTTTTATCCAAAATTTCACCCATTTTATTTTTAAGATTAAAAATATTTTTTTTATGTATTTTTAAAAATAATTTATGTTAAATCAACATAATTCTTTAATCATTATAGAGTAATATATTATAATTTAGGGTTAATAGCACCTTTAATCCCTAAAATATGCATATTTCGACAGTTTAGTTTTAACTGTATTAATTTTGTCAATTTGCTCCTAAATTATTTAGTTAATATTTAAATGATCCATACACAGACAAACTGTTAAGTTTTTGACATAAGTGATCTCTCACTGGCCACGTGATACTATCTGATGAAATGACACGTGATCACTTTCATTAAAAAACTTAATAGACCATCTGGTTAGGAACCATTTAAACAAGAATTGAATGTTTTAGAAATAAAAAACTATAAAATAAGATAACTATAAATCACAATTATATATACATATTAGATAAAAAAATCATAATAATATATACATTGATATTAATTATTATTCACAATTAAGAAAATTAGGTAGACACAGGGTAATGACTCTTCCACTATGTATTAACAATGATTTATAACATCATTTATCACATAATAATATATTTTTTCACTTTTTCTTATCCTCCACTAAATGATTGTTTGTCGTTAAGGAAACTAAGTAAGCAATGATATTATTTATGTCTCTTAATCTTCTTTTGTTTAATATTGTTTTTGAATAAGTTCTCTCTCCCAAAAAAGGGGACAAAAATCTTCCGACTGCCACACAAACTAGTTGGAAAACCTTTTAGCTTATCTCTCTTACCATCCAATTTGAAAACTTTTTTTCTTCTCTCTTTTCCTCCCCCTCTCTCTCAAATACCCCTCTGAAATTGAATAAATTACATATATATAATATTTGTTATTAATATTTTGTATACAAAAATTATTCACATGCAACACATGTGATGCATTGCTAGTCAGAACAAAAATTTGGTTAGCTAGATACTTTGGTGCCCAGAAGAGGTAAAGACTTAGATATATGAGGGATGGTTACAATCAAGTAAGATGAAGAGACTTGACTATATTAACAAACAAGCGGTGTACTATCCTTTAAATTTATAATAACAAAGAGGTTCAAGTGAGTCTCAAATTTGATGGGTTAAAGGTTTTTAATGTTATTTAGATATTTAGTGTGGATATTTTAGGTAAACAAAAATTTTCTTGATTTAGAAAATTTTTGTAGTAGTATATATGTATACTAGGAGTAATTTATACTTAAAGGCACCACGTAATGTGAATGATTTTAAAAGGGATATTGGTGACTATTAGACGAGTTTATTTGAGACTTTCAAATATATTTATTGAAATATGTTATATTTTATATTATAGATAGATAGATATTGATTTAAATATATATAATATAATATATATTTGAAATAAAGTTTAAGAGCAACTCCAAGGTTGCTCGCCAGTTCAGCCTTTTAGCTATTTTGGCGAGCAAAACTCCAAATTTGGTGCTCCAATCCACTAGTCAGTCTCCTTGCCAAAATAGCTGAAGGTCTTCATCCTAGCCAAATCTGGATAGACCAATTGCTCNTTTGGCGAGCAAAACTCCAAATTTGGTGCTCCAATCCACTAGTCAGTCTCCTTGCCAAAATAGCTGAAGGTCTTCATCCTAGTCAAATCTGGATAGACCAATTGCTCGCCAGCTGCTTGGGTCTCTCTCCCTTCAGTCGCTCAGCTTGTCTTCATTCCTCCAATCTCTCCATTTCTACTCTATTTTTTCACAACGACACACACTGCGAATCGGTCTTCCTTCCTCCTTCAGGTATGTTTTCCTTCCTCCAATATAAGTTTTCCCTTGCTTTCTATGAATCGGTCTTCGCTCAGCCAGGGCTTCTTGAAATTTTTTGAAATGTGTTTCTTTTCATTATTCACAATATATTTGATTAATTGCTTCAATGAGATATCCACTCGATTTATCTAGAATCTTGTGTTAGTTTTTTTTTATTGTTACTTCGATTTGGACTTCAAGAATTTTATATTAATTCCTGTTAAAGAAAATTCATATTGCTTGTTCTTGTTGAAATGAACCATGTTGTTGTGTTGGTAGATAAATAGTTGTTTTTGTTCTTGTGCGTGTGTTGATAGATAAATATTGTTGAAATAGTTAATTAAAATAGAGAGTATGGTTAAAATAAATTTTAAAAAATAGTTAATTATAATAGAGAATTCAATAATTAAATATTTTTTTAATAACTATTTTGCTAAGTGCGATTAAAAATGCTCTAATATAATCCCGTGACACACTCCATCGCCATTTCTAGGACATGTATAAACGTTACAAAATATATTTTTAGAAAAATGTGATGTAATGAAGGGTAGTTGGCATAGAATTTGGCATTCTTGTCGGGGGAGAAGAGCGTCTCTCACTGCGTGTTCATAGTTGGACCAAAAATATCAAATGAATCCACGCGTTCTTCTTTTCTTCCGAGATAGCGGCGTTTTCTAGTAACCGTTAAGTGGACCCCGTGATAGTTGCAGTACAAACCAAGCAAGCTGGAAAAGCCAAATCCTAAATCAATGTCTTTCTCACCCACAAAATAGAAATCAGAAAATTCACAAGTAAATCGAGAAAGAGAGAGAGAGACTTACCCACAAAACAGAAATCAGAAAATTTACGGGCAAATTGATGTAGAGAGACAGAGACCGTTGTCTTATCCACTGTGGACTCTTCAGTCTCACCAACCAAATTGTATATTCTTCAGAGCAATCAAGACTCGAGAGAGCAGCACCAGCACCACAGCCCAACTCTGCCCAGATATTCCATTATTAACACTAGCTCACTACCACCAATCAACCTAATCTGGAGAGGGATTCCTCCATTTCACTGATTCTCTACCCACCCCACAAATAGAGACAAAGAGAGAGACTCCAATGCTATTGCAGATCTAGATTATACGCTTTTGAGGGTCCTTTGATCTCTTTCATTTCCATTGCTTGCTTCTGTGTCTGAATTGGAATTAGACAGCTCAACTTTACCAAAATGAGTATGTACGGAAGAGACCCATGGGGCGGCCCGTTGGAGATACACGCGGCGGACTCGGCCACGGACGACGATCGGAGCCGGAACTTGCAGGACTTCGACAGGGCGGCGCTGTCTCGACCGTTGGATGAGACACAGCAGAGCTGGCTGTTGGGTCCTGGGGAGCAGAAGAAGAAGAAGTATGTGGATCTGGGTTGTATAATTGTGAGCCGAAAGATCTTTCTGTGGACTGTCGGTACGATTCTTGCAGCTGGGGTCTTAGCTGGGTTCATCACTCTAATTATCAAAACTGTGCCTAGGCATCATCGGCCTCATCCTCCACCAGATAATTATACGGTGGCGTTGCACAAGGCACTGATGTTCTTCAATGCCCAGCGCTGTAAGTAAAACAACACGCGCGCGCGCGCGCGCGCGCACACACACACATATCTAAAATAAATCAGTTAGCAAGTTGAACACAACTTGCTCCTATACATTTTAAATCCTATAAAATAATAAATCCATCTCTCCTTATCTCCTATAAAATAAATCCTTATCTCCTATACATTTTTATCCAAAAAAAATCACATCACACAATTCTATCACATATTCAATCATTTGGTATTTAGCTAATTTATAGTTTAACACAAATTTTATTTCATACATTATTCATACACAATACTGTACAAATGTTGAAAACAATTTATCGAATTATGCATTTTGACAAAATTTTGACGCTATTTTTAGAAAATAATAGGTAGAAATTAATTTTAAATGATGTAAGTAAATAAAATAATTTTAAATTTGATCTAGTAGGATCAATTTTTTAAATGTTAAAATCTTATGTTTTATCGTGCCTTTAATTACGAATTATGAGTAGTATATATATATTATTGCTGGTATATATGCGGCGGCAGAGCCGGGATATGTTCTTAGTGGTGGCAACTAAAACCTTAGTTGTAACTTAAAGCATTGACGCAAACATTCTTTATTCTAATCCTAATTTCTTTTAAGAAATATATCCATAATTACCTAGACAAATAATTTATTTAGTTATAGTCAACCTCAATGCTAATGACCGTACATATTCAAAAACAGATAAAATAAAAAGTTCAATCTGTCACAAACCTATTAAACAAATTATAGATGTAGGAACAATTTAATTTATCACAAATAAATTGTCCAAGACCGATATATCGAATCAATTTAATCTAAAATTCAATAAATAAAATTTCAAATATAAGAGGAAAGAGAGTGAATTGGAGACCGAAGATTGAGCCATGACATTAAGCCGCGAGAGAAATTTTAATTTATGAAAAAATATCACTTAATGGGGCAACTTATAACAAATTTTAATTTTTTTCAAAAATTTTCAATAGACCTTAGAAATATTTTGAATTTCAGTTGGGACAATTGCCCCCCTACCTCCGCCCCTGTATATATGTATTATATATGTGTTTTTTACGTAAGTTTTTGTATTTCTAATATCTGTATGTGTATGTGCTTTAATGGGTCAAGCATATTTGGGCATAATATTATTGTGCATGGATGATTTGAACCCACATTAGTTAGCATTACATGTTTTCAACCTGATACATAGAAGACAAGATTTTGGCTGGGATTTTTGATGGGGAACAAAACTTTCATTAATTAAAGAAAAATGTGCAAAAGAAGTGGACAAGAAATCCTCCCTATGAGGGACATAAAGTAGGAGAATACATCAAAAACGTTACAAGATTTGGCTGAGATAAATTTTATTTTTGTTTCAGTTTTTGATTTGAAAAGAGATGGAATGGTTGTAGAGTTTTTTAGCTTGTCTTCTTGATATATACATCTGTGTGTAATTGTGTCTTACGAGAAAAAAATAGGTAATAGTAAACAAGGGATGGGTGAAAAATTGCTACCAATGATAGATCAAGTGTAAGCCAGTTGTTGCAAATATTTTGCTGTTTATATAGTTTGACTTTGATTATAGTTGTTTGGTTTGACAATCAGTAATTTTGAAAACACACTTCATTTCCTAGAAATTAATATAATTTTTGGAGCTGGCTGACCATATGAAATTAACAAATGGATGAACCACAAGAGTGATCCAGCCATTTTTATCTTAATTGGTTGTTCTTTCATACTATTAAGGGATTATTTGGACAGATTTAAAATGGCACCCTGTAAAATTAGATTAGCTCTCCCTGTAAAATTATGCTGCTTATCATCTTTAACTGGATCGTGAATTTTTCAGATTGCAATTTATCATATTCTGCTTGGAATATCGTATTCTTGTCACCAAACAACTCATTTACTCAAAAAAACTGTAACCATTCCAGGCAGGGCTGGGTTCAGGGTAGGGGAGTTAGGGGGGAGAGAGTGGGTGGGGGTTCAAGTTGGTTGTGGGTGATTACAGGAGGGGGCAAGGGAGGCCGAGGAGGAAGGAGGAAGAGAGAGGAGCTGCTGATGGAGGGTGTGAGTTAGGGCAAGGGGGAGTTGCAGCCACTGGGCAAGGGTGGGTTTTGTGAGTGAGATGGTGGGAGGCTGAAGGGGGAAGGGGGAAGGGGGAAAAGGGAGGAGGGCTATTGCCGAGGGGTGGGAGCGAGGGGAATTGCAGCTCTGGGGGGATGGGTGCTCAATGGTTAATTTTTGAAATATGGTTATCTTATTTTTTGCATTACAAAGGTAAATTCAGTACCAAAAAAAGGTGTGATAATATCAGCAAAGTCTAAGAAAATATGTTAGTTGACTAATGGATGTGTTCCCCTTTCTAATTTAGCATCAAATCAGAGGGGGTTTAAATGTAGGTTTTGAAACCATGAGGGTACCCTGTAAATCTGTCCAAAGCATGGGGGTGTGGTTGTAACTATCCCTACTATTATTAGTTCACTTCCTTTTTGTCTAGTCCTATAGTTTCTCTAATTTCTAAAATTTACAATTACAGCTGGAAAACTCCCGAAGCACAATAATGTATCATGGAGGGGAAACTCTTGTTTGAATGATGGCAAGTCTGATGTTTTATCTGTAATTAAAGATCTTGTGGGTGGTTACTATGATGCGGGAGATGCGATCAAGTTTAACTTTCCGGCATCTTTTGCTATGACCATGCTGAGTTGGAGTGTTATTGAATACAGCGCAAAATATGAAGCTGCTGGGGAGCTCAACCATGTTAAAGAGATAATTAAGTGGGGGACTGATTACTTTCTTAAGACCTTCAATTCCACCGCTGATACAATAAATAGTGTTGCGGCCCAGGTAATTATTGTTCATTCTTTGGTTGATTTGTATTGCTACTTCCTTTGAATTATCAGTGAACCTGTTCATTTTAGGATAACTTTTTTGTTCCCTACAATTGCTCTACGTCCTTAGACATTCTTGAATAGTGATCATCCTTTACTCTAGTAGTAAGATTTCAGGTTTAAACAGCAAAGGTTCTTCTCTGTGACATGCTTCTGTAGTGTAGTTGTTTGTCAGGCTAGTGCTTTACTTTTCTGCCATCTACATTTTTTTTTTTTGGAGTAATGCCGAGCTTGCAATTTCATCCACAAGCTTTCTGTTGTACATATCTGACAGGTTGGAGTGGGGGACACTTCAAGAGGACCAGCTCCTAATGATCATTATTGTTGGATGAGGCCGGAGGACATTGATTACCCTCGGCCTGTATATGAATGCCATAGTTGCTCAGATCTTGCTGCAGAGATGGCTGCTGCTTTAGCTTCCGCATCTATTGTTTTCAAGGATAACAAGGCCTACTCACAGAAACTTGTCCATGGTGCCAGAACACTCTTCAAGTTTTCCAGGGATCAGCATGGCAGATATAGTGCGGGTGGTGCCGATGCTGCTATTTTCTATAATTCTACTAATTACTACGATGAGTTTGTGTGGGGTGCAGCTTGGCTATATTATGCTACTGGAAATTCTTCATATCTTCAACTTGCTACAACTCCGGGTATCGCCAAACATGCTGGTGCCTTCTGGGGAGGCCCAGATTATGGTGTACTTAGCTGGAACAACAAGCTTGCTGGAGCTCAAGTAAGTTAATGGAGCTTCTTATGAACTTGTGTTACTGCTGCATCACTTACCTTTGCACTTCTGGTACAATTCATTGATTGGTGAACTGAATTGCATCAACAGTAGCAAAATTTGCCTATTTCCAGACTAGTATTGCCACAGTGTAGGTTGCTTATATGCTTTTTGCAGTTTAGTTACTGCATGTTTGGTATTGTTTTCTGTGTTGTTGCTCTGCTAGCTCTAATGTTTTCCCAAGCTATCTAGGCGTGTTGGATCATGGATTTCCTTATAGGTGACTTGTATATTCGGCAATTGATCTGTCTGTGCTTTGAATGGTCTAGAGCTCTAATTTTTAAGAAAGCCACCGAAAAATACATGTTTGATGTGGTTTGAATGTTTCCTGGAGACAGCACTACTTTGGACTATTGCTGTCACACGACTCACACCCCATCCCAGAAAGGTCAACCCCACCTTCCCTTTTATGAGGTGTGATTACGTATTAGTATATCTATGTATTCATCACTTAACCTGTTTTTCCTATATCTAACGTATTAAAATAGAATAATTAACCTGGATATGAATAACTATAGTCATTTCAATAGATAAGTAAACGGATATAGACATGTAAATATATCATAGTGCTACATAAACACCACCATAGTATCTCACCCTCCTAACATCCTGAAAAACAGTGTACAATATTGTACATGATTAGTAAACGTATGAGCATCAAACAACTCCAACACCAACCTAATCTGAACCGTTGACCTTTTCCAACACCGAACACCAGAAAAACAAACTTCTGTTGTGGGGTAATCTATCAGCATGACCCATGAGTATATTCGAATCATATGGAAAGAAAATAGAAAAACAGTTGTAAACGAAACAAAGATTCACATTAAAAAAATCCTTATAAAACAATTTCCACCAAACTATCCATAATAAGGATATAAGAAACTCTGATCAATGTAGATTATGAGTTTCCAAACCATCTCAAACCTCATAGGTCCTATAAACCATCTATCGTAACCATAGGGTTGTATACTTTATAACTGGGTTTTTGACAGTACTGCTTCCGTACACCACAACGTAATCAAGTGGATTTGCAGGGTCAAGGGTCATACCATATCTCCAATTGTAGGAGTAAGAATAGATATTCAACTATCCAACAACGCCTGGGAGTCTTGGCAACAGATATCGACTACTCAATTATGCCCGTGCGTCTTGGTGTCCACATCAATTGCCCGATAACCCCTAGGAGTTTTGGGACCATGATTATTAAAGAATGAATATCAAACCACAATTAAAATCCCATTTCAGATATACATTTGGTCTCATAATCAACAACCTTCCCAAAAACTGCTTCACACTCCACATTTAAGGATATAAAAGTTGGGTATAAAGTAAACAAATACTTAGCCTTCAATCTATATGAGACAATATACCCCTGTTAGGTACAATATCAGATCCCTCAGTCAACCCCTAGGGAAAGCCGATGTTGGCATGGTCGCCTTGGCACCTAGTACACATCATTACATAATACCCATGAGTATGATTCATCTATGCATCATGACATGAGCGCGCCTGCATGTAAGCTTGACTCAATGGCATATAATCAATCCCTTGCCCAAGTGATATAAATTATTCCAATACTATAATGTAGAGTATGTAGGTAGCAGACTCATACATGTCCAGGTCTTGAATTATTGGTCAGATGTGCCACCACGAATTCTTCTTTTCATATCCCCCTCCCTATATAATTTAGATTTTTGAGTCAAACTAATTTCATTTAAACCAGACTTCTCAAACATTATATCGATAGATCATTAGCTTATACCAAAGTTCTGTAGAAGAAGGTACATTTGTTCTTCTACAGGGTACTGAAGCTAGCCGGACATCACAGTCCCAGTTTTCAGCTAGGTTTAAAGAAAGACCAGTTTCTCTTGCGCAGAATTGAGTGTTCCGCAAGACAGGGTTGAAATGATCTATGATTCTAGTTTCTAAACAACCAAAGGTGCGAAATTTAGAGTTTTCTAAAATGAGTTATGTCCGTTTTTACACAGGGTTGCAAGCTGGGCTATGTTCAGAACAGGAATCTGCACTCCCTGTTTTTGGGTTTTTCTCTCGCAATTCAATTTCAACATTTCCGTAACCGTTTCATTTCTTATCCAACATCTCCTACCATCTAACCAACTTTCAATAACACACCCCAAATGCATAATACCATTCAAGTTTTGAAGGTTTATATGGTTGAAGTACTCAACTGGTTCCCATGAAGGATGACTAAAATTCGATTTATAACTATGCAGCCTACTCAATATTAATTTATGAATGTATGAATATTAACTACATGTTGGGCTTCTCTTAAAAATGGGGTCGTAGAATTGGGCTGGTACTGTTTATTTTTGATTTTAACTGGATAGCAAAGCTGTGAATAATAAACTTGCAATAATTTTTTAACACTGTATTGAAAATTTCCTAAAAATGCCTGCATGTGTGGATGGCTAGGAAGCACAGATATTTGCTGTAGAGGTGCTCTAGACACAACGAGAAGTATCCTGAATAATGAATTTAGTTGGACACAAATAGGATTTTTTTTTTTAATCTCAGGGCTGTTAACTGTTAAGTGGGGTGTAAAAACAATAAAAAATAAAAATAAAAAACAAAAATAAAATAAAAAATTAAGGGGTGTAGGATTTCTTTATTTTGTATTTGTGTTCTATGTTTTGTAATTTATGGATTATGAATGTTAATGGAGGTAATGATGTGTGATGAAATGGTTGATGTTTATTTGATCTATTTCAATTTTAATAAAAAAAATTAATATTTGGTAGGTCTTATTATTAATATTGTTATAAAATATGCTTTGTTTTTAATATATAACAATACTATTATTATCTGAAAATATATAATATTAATTTAAGTAGCCAAAGATCTTTGTCCTTATTGTATCAGGTAGGTGGGTGGGTATGTTGATTGTTTTCTTTGTTTATATTTTGCCGCCTTTCCTCCTTCAATTGGATTTTACTTTCTGTCAGTCCTCTTTCTTGTTTCTTGTTGACTGGGTTTGTGATTGTGATTTTTTAGTTCCCAATTCACTGGGACGGATTTGAATGAGCTTTTCATAAAATACGATGCTTCTCTGTTCTGTTAATTTTTGAATCAACCGTTTGATTTCTGTCCAAATTTATGTCTGCATGCCTGAATCAGCGGTGAGATGTCCAGCATGTAAAATGTTTATCAAAGATTTTTAGTTTCCTGGTTCTGAGCACCAAATTAGCTAAAGCTTTGGCGGATATCATGCAAGTTTTCTGATCAAAACAAATTTAATGCAAGGTTCCTTGCTAACACTAACTTTGTTATTTTGTGTCCAGGTACTTTTAAGTCGCTTGAGATTGTTCTTGAGCCCCGGTTATCCATATGAAGAAATTTTAAGGACATTTCACAACCAGACCAGCATTATCATGTGCTCATACCTCCCGTACTTCACAAGCTTTAACAGAACAAAGGGTATACCAGCTTTCTATCAGTACCCGTGATGTCTCTTCTAGGTAGTTTTACTGAATGCATTAAAAATCTGATGAGGGGAACCTGTTGCAGGAGGTTTGATTGAACTAAACCATGGAAGGCCTCAGCCTCTTCAGTATGTGGTCAATGCAGCCTTCTTGGCTACGCTGTACAGTGACTATCTTCGAGCTGCAGATACACCTGGATGGTACTGTGGACCTAATTTTTATTCAATTGATGTGCTGCGCAAATTTGCCGAGACCCAGGTATCTGACTCTCTATTCACTCTTTTCACATTATCTGAATGGGAAAAAAATTCTCTAATAGGCCCACAATAGGTTGGAATCATTGTTGATTTTTAAGTGAAATTATCTTTCCTGCAGATTGACTACATCCTTGGGAAAAACCCTAGAGGGATGAGTTATGTGGTGGGCTTTGGCAATCATTATCCGAGGCATGTCCACCACAGAGGTGCATCAATCCCCAAGAACAAGGTCAAGTACAACTGTAAAGGAGGATGGAAGTGGAGGGACAGCCCAAAGCCTAATCCCAATACTCTTGTTGGAGCCATGGTTGCTGGCCCTGACAAGCATGATGGTTTCCATGATGTCCGTACTAATTACAATTACACCGAGCCAACGCTTTCAGGCAATGCAGGTTTGGTGGCGGCCCTTGTGGCTTTGTCGGGTGACCAGACCAATGGAATTGACAAGAACACCCTATTCTCAGCAGTTCCCCCTATGTTTCCAACTCCACCACCACCGCCAGCGCCTTGGAAACCATGAGATGGCTTTGTTCCATATCATTTTTTTGCGGCGACTTAAAGTTTAGATGGTTTTGCTGCTGCCGCTGTTCTTAGATACTAAGCAACATGAAAGTAAAAGACAACGCCATACGTGATGAAGAAGCCATGGCTTAACACCTTGACGATAGGCAGGCTGGGGTGTAGGACTGTAAATTTGGACTAGTTTGATGAAGTGGTTGGAAATTTGGGCATGTCGTTGGTTGTATCTATATTCTGCATGTATGTAAGAAATCAATCCTGTATTCTTTTCAACACTAGCAAAATTGAACAGGCTGTATTTGGCTACAATAGGCGTATGTAATAATTTCTTTTATTTCTTGTACACATCTTATTAATTAGTTAATGCACACGTACTGCGTGGATCAGCAGTTTCCCCTATACCTATTCATCAATCATCATTGCATCTATTTCATATTTTTCTTATATTTCCTCCAAAAACTTTAAGAAGAGGAGGAGGTGGTAACAACTCGGCTCAAGGTTAAGTGAGCCAGAAAAGTGAACAATCAAAATTAGTACATGCAAGCTATCAAATACACATCGAAACTTGGTTGAGCCATGTTAGATTGAGTACAACTTCCCTGTAGTGGGAGCAGCTACACCGATTGCCCCCATCCTCCCTGCGCCCCTACTCGCATAGATCCATTGATTAACTGGTTTTATCAGTCAACTCAATTATAATATATACCTATGATTTAGTGTTTTGGGTCGATTTTCGGATCGAGCTGAAATGTAATGTTAAAAGTTATTAACATCAAAGGTATTTTGTTTATTTCTAAGGAGAAAAAATGACAATCACTAATCATACGAGGTAGGTTTAGAGAAAGTTTTGTTTTGACACTGTATCAAATAATACAACTTTCGACGTTCAAATTTCAACTTTTAGGGTTCAAATTATAACTAACTAAAATTATTCATGATCATGAATTGCAAAGTAATGTCTCTCGAAGAGGGGACAACCATCAAAATGAAGAGAACAACTTAAACCATCAAAATGAAGAGAACAACTGAATGTCAATCATAAAAAATCGTCGCCGTTTGCTTACAATTGTTGAGTACACCTAGGAGTGTCCATGAGTTGGGCTGGTTGGACTAGGCCCACGAAATTTTTTTTGGGGCAGGCCTAGGTACTGTAGGTCCAAGCCTTTACGCAAGTGAGTTATCGGGTGAGTCGGATCGGACTTCGAGTAAGAGTAGGCTACCTGCAGTCCTACCTGCGAGCCTATTTGAGCAGGCTTGCTGGACTGGCTTGCTCGCAGACTTTTTTATATACAAATTCATTTTAAAATAATAAATATTTTTGTAACTTAATATTTGTGTAAATTATATTTTTCAATCAAAAATATAGTCAAAATGGATAAAAATAAAATAATAAATAATTTTATTTTTAATTAGTGGATAAACTATATCAAATAGAATAAATGCATTCCAATTAGGTTGATACATACTTATCTATCATTTACATTACTCTACAATTTAAATCTTATATGCTTAATACATGGAAAATAAAATAATACATTATTTATAGTCTCTAAATTTTTAAAACTTCAAATTCCGGCGTTGAAAGACTTATTTCAAAGTTTCAAATTTAATAATTTAAAAGTATAACTTTTTTTCAAATGAAGGATGCGCTGGTTAGGTTTGACGGGCGGGCTTCGGGCGGGGTAATGGGTTTGGGGGGCAAACCCAATCCCTTTTTTTTTAAGGATATTGGGTTCGGGCGGGATAACTATCGGGTTTCGGACCTATTTTTTTTGATCGGGTAACGAGACCTGTGGATAATCCGGCCCATTGACATCCCTAAGCACACCCTCAATGGTCTAATTTGATCTGGAAATTTTGATCCAAATTTAATAAGAAAAATCTTTTTTTTTTTTAATTCAACCCAATTATGAAATGGACTGTGTTTTTACAGTCCTTATCCGAATAAGTCATATGTTAGAGTTATGATCGAATTCGCGAGTTAACTATAATTGAATTCCATGAAATTAAGTCTTAGTTGTTATTGGAGTCGCCATTTCTGTAATTACGAGTAATTGATTCAGGTCTATTTTTATATCNTCCCTATACACAAACCCTTCTACGTCCAAAATTGCAGAGAAATATTGTCTAGTGGGGCAATTTTTTTCGGATGCAAATCTCAACAAGCAAGGGGTGTGCAATGTGCTGCAGAGCACTTGGAAGACTTCCAAGGGCTTCTTTATCACCCATTGAGAGAAAAACACCTACATGTTCATGTTCAAGGAGGAGGAGGATAGAGACAAAATCCTCAATGAAGGGCCGTGGTCTGTTGCTGGAGCCTTGTTAGTCCTAAAGACGTATCGACCACAATTTATTATAAGTGATTTTGACTTTCAGCTGGCAGAATTCTGNTTGGTTGGAATTTTGAGGTGTGTGCTTATTGGAGATTTCCCTTAAACAAAAATTTATCTCATTTTAACACTTAAAACTCTTCAGTATTTTGATTTTTATAAATTATGGTTCGTTTTTTGTGTAAAATATATATTATAGAATATAATATAAAATTGAGTAATTAAAGAAAATAAAAAAATAAAATTTTGAAATATAAATGTTCATGATCAATGCTTAATCTTTGGTATTACAAAATGTCTTCATGCACGGGATTTTGTGTGTGTGTATATGTCTACATATTGTATTAAATCTCAATGAAATTCGATTTAGGTCAAAATTTTATTTATAAATACGCTTGAGATTTTTAATTTAATTTAATTTAATTTCAAGCCCCCAAAAACTTTTGAATTGTTGTGGGGGCAACTACCTCCGTTGCCCCCACCCACCCTCCGTCCTTGAGTGTCACATTGCATGGGCTTGGCTTGACTACTAAAGGAGCTTAAATTTCAACTATATTCGATTCATTTGGCAAGTTTGAACGAGCTACGGTTGAGCCAAGCTGGAGGCCTTAAAATTGGTGATGATTTCTTTAGCTTCTGCCATCAAATACCAAAATAAGTCAGTCAATGAGATAACATACAACCAGATCAACAAAATTTTACTCAACCAAGCACACTGACATTCCAACTAAAACTGGGAGTACTTAATTTATCTAATACTGACGCTTTATAAAATCGTTCCCCACAATGGCATGAGTTAAGATCTCTCTTCATCAATGAAGGATTCAAAGAACAGAAAATCTCAGTTGCTTCATCAGCTGTTCTCTGCATCCCTATGGATCATGTCTACCTTGAGACTGACCTGTAAGTCTGACAAAATGGTTGTCTTTGTTTGAAATGCTGCTATCTTTTTGATAACTGATACTCCAATAACTCCATTTCCATTCTATGCAAAATACCGAAACTCATGACTAACAAGTGGAGCGTCCAATCTATTACAATAACAACCTACTTGATCATCTACTTATCAAGACTAAGGAGTTCCAATCTTTGCAAAAACCCACCATCACATTTCATTCCTCATCTGTTGTTCTGGCTGGATCATTGCAAAGTAGCATACAGTTGCTCCTAATCAGCCATCCACCCTTTATAAGAACTTGATTTATGCCACTGTTATTAACACTCCCTATCACTATAAAATTCCCATGTTGAACAAAATTGATAGACGACTTAAGAATTCATTCAGATTGGGGGCCACCATCATATGTAACGCATTCATGGATTATCCTACCATGCCATAGAAGTCCATTTACTTGTAAAACACAACAGAAAATGAAAAAGAATTTATCCAAATGCATATTTTATCCTTAATAAAATCTAACAATGCATATCATCAGAAATGTAGCATAACCAAGCAGGTTCACCCTGTTCAAACAGGGGGCACTTGGCTCCAATACATAACCCTCTGAATTGTTATCAAAGAGAGTTGGGGGAAAGGCAAAATGCTCATAAAACTATTACTAGATATATCATTTGTAAGCTTACTGTTTTGGATTGAGAAAAATAATAGCTTACTGTTTTGGATTCAAAACCCATAAAACATGCCCAACTAAAACCAGGATTCTTTTTCACTAAATCCTCTGCAGCTAAATGACAGAAAACTAATGGGCATTTGGTCCAATGGTACTCTTTGTCATATAAAAACTTTACCTTCTTAAATTAAACGTTCAAGTTCTCCTCTCCCACAGTGTTTTCTCTCGAAATGAGAGCTCTTCACCTGAGGTAGGGTTTCTCGGAGGTTGATCCTCCTCTGTCTCCTTACTTTACTTTCTCTATTTTCCCCATTTCTTTATTCTATCACAGCGAGGCATTGAGATCTCATAGAACCGATCGTTTCGTGCTCACCACATTAAACCCTTCATATCATTATTATAGATCGTTTCGTGCTCACTACATTAAACCCTTCATACTTCATTCACTGTACCTACCCATTTCTTCTATTCACTGTATCAGTCGACTTCGATTAACCTTCAAGACGTCAACCATCCCCTACTCGGAGCCAGCATTAACCCAAACCACCACCTCCTAAGCCCTAATTGCTCTAATCACTACCTTCCTACCTCCGTCACCACCCCTCTTTGCCCTGCACTGGATAGACATCTCAAATGCCTATCGATCCATCCAAAACCCCTCATCCACTCAAAAATTCCTATTTCAGCCTCCTTATTAATACCCACACCTATATTCAATCCCTAGTAACCAAACCCTCACATAGTACCTCACCCATAAGCATATTTCGCTCTAGAGCCTCCATTTTCTTTGGGGCTCTATTAGCACCCTATTACCTCTTAGTATAAGCCTCCCTTTCCCCCAATCTCTCTAATGGAGAAGGACGCAGAAGCCAAATCGTTCTCTATCCACCACCCACATATATCCCTATACACAAACCCTTCTACGTCCAAAATTGCAGAGAAATATTGTCTAGTGGGGCAATTTTTTTCGGATGCAAATCTCAACAAGCAAGGGGTGTGCAATGTGCTGCAGAGCACTTGGAAGACTTCCAAGGGCTTCTTTATCACCCATTGGGAGAAAAACACCTACATGTTCATGTTCAAGGAGGAGGAGGATAGAGACAAAATCCTCAATGAAGGGCCGTGGTCTGTTGCTGGAGCCTTGTTAGTCCTAAAGACGTATCGACCACAATTTATTATAAGTGATTTTGACTTTCAGCTGGCAGAATTCTGGGTCCAAGTCTGGGGTCTGCCATTGGATATGATGACAAAGAATAATGCCTGGAGAATTGGCTTGGTTGTTGGAGAACTAACTCAGCTGGAAGATTTTGATGGAGATTTTCAGTTCCAATGAAATTTCTTAAGGGTAAAATACATCATCAACTTGAAGGACCCATTGAAACAGGGTTTCTTCTTGACACGGGATAATTAGAATGACATCTGGATCACCCTGAAATATGAGAGATTGTCTGACTTCTGCTATCAATGTGGGCGGATTGGCC